CCTTAGCCAGCCAGTTTGTGAGGTTGGATCTTTCGGAGCCTAGTCGAGTTCTAGCTTGTGTGGTCTCTCAGTCTTCCTTGTTTGATCATATCCGGGAGCGTCAGTTTGATGACCCTCATTTGCTTTTCCTCAAGGACAAGGTGTTGCATGGCGATGCTCGAGATGTGACTATTGGTGATGACGGGGTATTGAGGATGCAGGGTCGAGTTTGTGTACCCAATGTTGATGGGCTTCGGGAGTTGATTCTAGAGGAGGCCCATAGTTCGCGGTATTCCATTCATCTGGGTGCCGCGAAGATGTATCAGGATTTGAGTCAGCACTACTGGTGGAGGCGGATGAAGAAAGATATAGTTGGGTTTGTAGCTCGGTGCCTTAATTGTCAGCAGGTGAAGTATGAGCACCAGAGTCCGGGTGGATTGCTTCAGCAGATGGAGATTCTGGAGTGGAAGTGGGAGCGGATCACCATGGACTTCGTATCTGGGCTCCCACGGACTTTGAGGAAGTTCGATGCCATTTGGGTTATTGTGGATCGGCTGACCAAGTCCGCGCATTTCACTCCTGTGTGTACTACCTATTCTTCGAAGCGGTTGGCGGAGATTTATATCCGGGAGATTGTTCATCTGCATGGTATTCCAGTTTCTATCATTTCAGACAGAGGTACTCAATTCACATCGCGATTCTAGAGAGCCGTACAGCATGAGTTAGGTACTCGGGTGGAGTTGAGCACAACATTTCACCCTCAGACGGACGGACGGTCCGAGCGTACTATTCAAATTCTTGAGGATATGCTCCGTGCGTGTGTGATTGAGTTTGGAGGGTCTTCGGATCAGTTCTTTCCATTGGCGTAGTTTGCCTACGACAACAGCTATCAGTTCAGCAGTCAGATGGCACCGTATGAGGCTTTATATGGTAGGCGGTGTAGATCCCCGGTGGGTTGGTTCGAGTCGGGTGAGGCTAGATTATTGGGCACGGACTTGGTACAGGATGCCTTGGAGAAGGTTAAGGTGATTCAGGATAGACTCCGTACAGCCCAGTCCAGACAGAAGAGCTACGCGTACCGGAAGGTTCGGGATTTTTCCTATATGGTTAGAGAGCGGGTTCTGCTTCGGGTATCGCCTATGAAGGGCGTTATGAGATTTGGAAAGAAAGGGAAGCTGAGTCCGAGGTTTATTGGCCCTTTTGAGATATTGAGGCGTGTTGGGGAGGTTGCTTATGAGCTTGACTTACCTCCCAGCTTGGCAGGAGTTCATCCGGTATTTCATGTCTCGATGCTCCTGAGGTATCACGATGATACGTCACATGTGTTGGATTTCAATTCAGCCCAGTTGGACAAAGATCTATCTTATGTTGAGGAGCCAGTGGCGATATTGGACAGGTAGATTCGAAAGCTGAGGTCAAATAACATTGCATCCGTGAAGGTTCAGTGGCGGGGTCAGCCGGTCGAGGAGGCGACTTGGGAGACCGAGCAGGATATGCGCAGCCGTTACCCTCACATTTTCACTACTTCAGGTATGTCTCTATGCTCGTTCGAGGACGAACGAATGTTTAAGTGTGGGAGGATGTAACGACCCGGCTGGTCGTTTTTAGAATTTACGCCCCAATCCCCTATTAACTGTTTTCCCCGTGTTTGTTTCTGCTAATTTGATTCGCCGGGATGTTTGGTTTTGAGTTTCAGAGTGTTTTGGGACACTTAGTCCCTGAATGAGAGCTTAAGTTTTAGAAATTGGATCGTAGTCGGAGTAGTGTGAAGACGGCCTCGGAATTTAATTTCGATGATTCTGTTAGCTCCGTTGGGTGATTTCGGGTTTAGGAGCGTGTTGGGATTGTGTTTTGGAGGCCCGTAGCTCATTTAGGCTTGAAATGCCGAAAGTTGAATTTTTGAAGTTTCCGCTTCGATAGTGAGATTTTGATCCGAGGGTCGGAATAAAATTATGGAAGTTGGAGTAGCTCCGTAGGGTTGAATGTGACGTGTGTGCAAAATTTCAGGTCATTCGGACGAGGTTTGATAGCCTTTTTGATCGAAAGCGTAAATTTTGAGTTTTTTGAAGTTCTTAGGCTTGAATCCGATGTTAAATTGGTGTTTCGATGTTGTTTTAGGTGTTTTAAGAATTGGTATAAGTTTGGATAGTGGTATGTGACTTGTTCATGCTTTTGGTTGAGGTCCCGGGGGCCTCGGGGTGATTTCGGAGGGTTGTCGGAAGGATTGGAAGTGGTTTGAAGCAGCTGAAGCTGCTGATCTCTGTCATAACCGCACCTGCGGTCAGGTCCCGCAGGTGCGGGGCCACAGAAGCGGCGCTAGGATCGCAGAAGCAAAAAGGGAGAGGGTCAGCAAGAGCCGCAGAAGCGGGAGCTTCACCGCAGAAGCGGATTCGCATCTGCGTAAGGGCAATCGCAGGTGCGGAAGCCAGGCTTTAGTGAATTGTCGCAGATGCGACTTTTGGTCCACAAAAGCAAGACCGCAGGTGCGGTTTCATGGCTGCAGAAGCGGATTAGCTGGGCAGAACATATAAATAGTTGCCTTCGCGAATTTGAGTTATTTTTCACCTCTTTTCAAACGGGAAGAAGCTTTGGGGAGCAGTTTTCAAGGGGGATTTCCAGAGGAATTCATTGGGGTAAGGTATTTGATCCTTAAACTCGTTATTGAGGTGATTTTTATCATTTTAAACATGAAATTTGAGGAAAAATCAGTGGTAAACTAGGGGTTAGGGCTTGATTAATTAGAGACCTTTGAGTGATGATTTGAGGTCCGATTTTGGTACTTTTTGTATGCATGAACTCGTGAGAGTACGAGGATTCTGAAAATATAAATTTACCCGATTCCGAGACGTGGGGCCGAGGGGCATTTTGGTCATTTTACCAAATTCCGCGTTTTAGCTTAGACTTTATTTGTAGAATCAGTTACTTGAAGTGTTATTTACATTATGCAATTGAATTGAATAGATTTGGGCCATTTGGAGTCGAGTACTCGTGGCAAGAACGTGGTTTCGGGTTGATTTTGAGCTGGTTCGAGGTAAGTGGCTTGCCTAACCTTGTGTGGGGGACCTTCCCCTTAGGATTTGGTATATTTGTTAATTGAAATGCCTTGTACGTGAGGTGACGAGTGCGTACTTGTGCTAATTGTTGGAAAATCCGGTTTTTGCTAAGTAACTAAGTCTGTGTTTTCTTCTCCTGTTATTACTACTTGCAATTTAAGCCTGCTGTTAGCTTAGAGAAGGATTTCTAATTGACTTACTTGTTTTATTTGCTTAAACTGCCTTAATTGTGTTATGTGAAGCATGTTAGGTTAGAATTTCCTGTTTTACCTTGGTTTTAAGTTGAGTTTAATTGAGAATTCCTTGTGTTATTGCTGTGTGCTTTACTTTGGGACTACGGGACGACATCCCGGGAGATCCCCCTGTACGTATTGTTGATTTGAACTGAAGAGAGGATACCAAGAAATCCTTGGGATACCAAGAGATCCCAGGTATAAAATTGAGGATACCAAGAGATCCTCGGGGTACCAAGAGATCCCTAGTGTATATTGAGGATACTAAGAGATCCTCGGGACACTGAGAGATCCCCGGTTATTATCTCTGTTAAGGGTGGTATTCCTTGTGATTGTTTTTGTCTCTGTTTCAGTTGTCGTTATCCTTATTATCATGTATTAATTCTTACCGTTAGCTTTCAATTGTACTGTTTTATCTTATTCTGTTATACCTTATATTTCATTTAACCTCAGTAGGGCCCTGACCTTCCTTGTCACTACCCGACCGAGGTTAGGCTTGGCACTACTGAGTACCGCTGTGGTGTACTCATGCCCTTCCTGCGCATGTTTTTCATGTGCAGATCCAGGTACGGCGACTCAGACTCATCACACTCGAGGCGGGGCGTTATAGAGACTCTGAGGTATATCTGTCGCGTCCGCAGACCGAAGAGTCCCTTTCTACTCTTGCTTTAAGTATTAGCCCTTCTGTTTTTCCTTCTTTGTTAGACATTCTGGAGTTAGATACTATTAGACATTCAAAAGCTTTTGATCATGAGATTCCGGGTTTTGGGAAATGTTATTAGTTTCGAGTGTTGATATTCTGTATGCCGGACGGCATTTCAAACATTATTTTATTTCACTATTTTATTTTTTTTAGGTATTTCTTCCACAAATGTTGTTTATTTTCTGCATCGTTAAGCTTGCCTAGTCGTAGGGACTAGGTGCCGTCACGATGGTTCACGGAGGGCGAACCGGGGTCGTGGCACTCGATCACTTGCATTTTTTGTGAAATCAATCATTGACAACAAAATGAACCTTTCATGAAATGAAGAAAGATAATCAGAAGCTGAGAAGGTTTCGCAAAGATCTCAATTGCAAGAAAAGTACGGCGAGTGCCATTGATTTCTACCTCTTCTACAGCACAAGGAGTACAAGAACAAGTGAGGCAAGTGCCAATGGATTCCATCACTCCTACATCACAAGCTGTGCATGAACCATCTGAAGATTCTACCAATCATGAAGCAATTGAACAATCTGAGGAACCAGGCAAGTATATATAAATTTTAATCATAAAATTAACTAACAGTGGTGATTGGTGATTATCCTTGTTTTGTATTAGTGCAGGACCTTCCGCGCCAAAAAGAAAAAGAGGCCCTACTTAAATTCAAAGTGTGCACGGTAGGAAGGACCGTAAAATAATCGTGCTAAATGTGTTCGATCAACCCATTGGTCCTATTGATGTAGTTGTGAAAGAGTTGGTAGCTTCCTTGGCACATTGGGAAGGAATGAGACCTTTTGTCCTCTTAATGTATTTGATTGGAGGAAAGTAGATAAAAAAATGATATTTGAAAATATGTCAAGGTTTGAAGCTCCTAATGTTCAATAAGCGTTGATGATATTTCACATTTTCTTATATTAACCTAATTGCACTAAATTTGTAGGAAAAATATGACATTCCTGAAGAGGCGAAGAATTGGGTTTTTGATTCAGTTTGTACCGCTTGGAGAAAGTATAAAAGTCAGTTGAAGAAAAAGCACTTTGAAGCATATGAGAATGACGAGCTTCGAATGGAGAATAGGCCAAAAGATGTTCCGGCGTCTCACTTTAAAGATCTTCTTGAATATTGGAACTCCGATGCCGCCAAGGTAATTACATCCAAATTTTGCCAACTTTGTAGGATATATAATAGTTGTGAAGCTAATAGTTTGCCTAGATTGATTGTAATTGTTATTGTTGTAAGGTGAATGGAAATCTAGTGTACTGTACTGTATTTTCATGGCTTCAGGGGCAGTTGAAGCAAACTCAAAGTCCAGTTGTATTTTAATACAGAAAACTTGTATTTTAGGTGGCCCATTGTCAATCTTTGCTTGTTTATTTGCAGAAAACGTCTGAAACCAATATCGAGAATTGAAAAAAGTTGAAGCATCCACACACTGCTGGCAAAACAAGTTTTGCTCGAATCATCGAGGTTTGATTTTTTTCTCTTATTTTTCTTAAAGTATAAACTTGCTAACTTTGCATGAAAAGATTATTATACCAGTTTTCATGTTACTAGGAAAAAAAAGAAGGAAATGGCTGATACTTCGGATACTCTATCAAGTAAGGACATCTTTGTGGCTACAAGAAAAAGAAAACATGGTCGAGTATAGTCGGTTTGGTTCGGATTTTTCGGCTATTTTTTTTATTAAAACCAAAATCAAACCAAACTTTTTCGGTTTTTAAAATTCAAAATGAAAACCAAATCAAACCACAAAATTATTTGTTTTTTGCTCGGTTTAGTTCGATTTTCGATTTGATACGATTTTCCGATTTTTATGAGTACCTCTAGTAGTCAGAATGTGATGGTGGCTTGGAAAAAAGACATAAAATTTATTTAAGAAAAAAAAGGATAGGCTTAAAAGCGAGTACGCTACTAATGACCAATACTCATTGACGTTCGAATTCATTATATTTTCGAGTGTTTCAAAGCCATGCAATACGAATTAATGATTATATCCACTTTTTCGTGAGTTAATGTACATGCTAATTTTGTAGAATTTTTATTCACAGACTCTTATCCGCCTGAAATTTCATAGGTCCATCAGAAGCTATCTAATGAACAATACTTATTGCTTTGCCATGATTGTTCCTTATTTTTTGATTTTTTACGACCATAGAATAGGAATTCAAGACGATTTTTATTTTTTCTTGTGCTATAGTGTCACGACCCGAATTTTCCACCGTCGGGACCGTGATGGCGCCTAACATTGTACTCGCTAGGCAAGCCAACGTTACTGAATGATTCACCTTCTTCTTTTATCTTATGATAATTAAAACTTAACAAAAGTAAATAAGCGAAATTAAATGCAGAATAAAACAGCTTAAAATATTATCTTTGTACTAATAAAAAACCGTAATAAATTTCATCCAGAACTGGAGTCACAACTCACGAACAGTCTACGAATACTACAAATAAGGGTCTGAACAAAAAGTTTACATCTGTCTCGGAAATAGATAAAACAGAAAAATGAAATAAGATAGAAGGGGACGCCAGGGCCTGCGGACGCCTGCAGGACTACCTTGGGTCTCCGGGAAACAGCAATAGTAACCAACCTCGCGATCAGCCACTAGCTCCAAAATCTCCACAAGAAGTGCAGAGTGCAGTATCAGTACAACCGACCCCATGTACTGGTAAATGCCGAGCCTAACCTCGACGAAGTAGTGATGAGGCTACGGCAGGGCAAACAACATATACAACCTACAACAGTCTATACTAAATAGAAAGGAAATACAGAATGTAATAAAGCAATAACTAGCAAAAAGTAAATTTGGAACCCAGTTGTTCTACTAGTATTCAGCTATAACCAATCCTTAAGGGTGTTTCAACTTCAGAATAATGAATTTCAGCGGAAATGAATACTTAAAACAACAACTGATGCGGCGCGCATCCCGATTCCATCATATAAACAACAACAGTATCAATATTCACCCCTATTCCTCCTTGTTGCGGCGTGCAACCCGATCCCACCTGTCCACCCTTATTTGTCACGACCCAAGTTCGCCCTCCGTGAACAGTCATGACGGCACCTAGTCTCTACGACTAGATAAGCCTAACAAATGCGGAAAAGGAAACAATTGCAGAAAGAAACTAATAAAAACCAAGATAACAAAATATAACAGTGTTTAAGATGCCGCCCGGCATATAACAATACAAGATTTCCAACTGAACACTCCCAAAACCCGGAATCCCATGAATCACAAGCTAAGAGTACATAAAAGGCTCTAACTCCAGAAATGTCTATCAACAAGGAAGATACAGAAGGGCTATACTAGTACAGAGAATAGAAAGGGACTCCTCGGTCTGCGGACACGGCAAATATACCTCGAAGTCTCTATAGAAGCGCCTCGCCTCAAGGGTGATAAGACTGAGTGGAAGTACCTGGATCTGCACACGCAAAAACATGTGCAGGAAAGGGCATGAGTACACCACAGCGGTACCCAATAAGTGCCAAGCCTAACCTCGGTCGAGTAGTGACGACGAAGGTCAGGGCCCTACTGGTCATATACATATATATAAGAAAAACGAAACAGTATGAAGTAACACAGTATAATGATAAGAATAACAACAATTACAACAGAGAAAATATCGCAGAAAGAATACAGCTCAACACGGAGATAGCAACCGGGGATCTACCAGGATATCGTCCTGTAGCCCCCAAATGTAAATATCCAGCAACCGGGATCTACCAGGATACCGTCCTGTAGTCCCCAAATGTAAATGTCCAGTGGATCTCCCGGGTGTCGTCCCGTATTCCAACTCATAGTGCGCCGGGGATCTACCGGAAACCCGATCCGTAGTCCCCAAATGTAAATACCCAGTACTGGGGGAATCTACCAAGTGCAGTCCCGTAGTTCCATATAACTGTGCAAGGGGATCTACCGGAATACCACATCCGTAGTCCCAAATAAACAGACAAGGGGGATCTACCGGGGACCGCCCGTAGTCCCAATGTAAACACGTGGCAACAACACAAGAACAATCAACTCAATTCAATTTAATATCAAAATAGACAGGTAATCCTAACCTATCATGCTGCACAGAGTTCAGATAAGGCAGTTTGAGCAAGTAAAGCAATTAAGTCAATTAAACACACTTCCCTAGCTAACAACAGGCTTAATTACAAGCAGTATAAACAGGAAAAGGAATCACGACTATAGTTACTTAATGAAAACGGATTTTCAATAATTAGCACAAGTACGCACTCGTCACCTCGCATACAAGGCATTTCAAATATCAACAATACCAAATCCTAAGGGGAGTTCCCCCACACAAGGTTAGGTAAGCCACTTACTGTAGACATGTGATTTTTGACCCTCCCCAAGATTTTTCATATTTTAGCATGTAAATATTTAATTTAGGCCTAATAGCGCTATTTCAATTAATTTTGACCCTTTTGCTTTATTTTATTANGTGTAGTATTTTTACCCTATTTTAAAAGGAGTCAATTAAGGTGATGTATTACAATTTTAAGAGTTTTAGAGCCCAACCCTTGGCCCAATTCGGATTAGTCCATTAAGCCTAGGGATTCTTCTAGACTATTCTTTGGGACAAAAAAATAAATAAAAGACCCTAAGAACATAACATAAAAGACATAGGGACTAATTGGCAAAATACACAAAATGTAAACCTAACTCTACACCTATAAGACCTAAGGAGATCAGTGTAGTTTTGGGGAGGAAGAGAACAAAAAATAACGCCTGATATATAGAGAAAAGAGGCACAACCGCGATAGACCCAACACCCACCCTCTGGTTTTCGTCTTCTTCACGAGGACCTAAGCGCAGCTCTTCATCAACAAGCCCTCCCCCCTGGCAATCGTCTTCGACGACGAGAACGCCCAAACACCCCTTGAAACAACCATGTGAACCACCATCAACAGCCATATAAAGCTCCTCACCAACCACCAAAGCTTGAGTGATGCTTTTTGAGTTAGGTTCGAGTTTTACCAGTCGAAAACGAGTTTGTCAAAGTTTTGAGTCAGTCGAGCTCTGATTGTTGGTCCTCTTTGAAGTTACCGGCAAATAATCCGGTTGAAAATTGACCAATCGTTCTAATTCGAGTTTAGATCCATCTATGCAAAGGACATCAATGATTTCTCCGAGGGTGAGGAGGTTGGAGTCGTTGTTAAGCCATATTCCTTCTCTGCTTCAAAAACTCTACTGTTTGCCGGAGGTTGAGGTGTTCGAGTTCGTTCCGATGCTAGAGTTTCTCCGGTCCTAGTCTCGTTCGTCTCACTGTCACTGTAACTGGAAGGGTATCACATCTTGAAGATTCGCTTAATTCCAAAGTTGTAACTGCTGAAATTCAAAGTTGTAACTGCTATAATTTTCAGGTCCGTTTTGACTCATACTTCTCCTGATTTTACGGTTCTTATTTGCTTACACATATCTTTAGTCGAATAAATCAATTTTGTCTAGTTTATTTAAGAATCATCTCTCGTTCTTCCTAGTTCATTTTCTGATTAGATGACGCGAATCTGAAGTCGCACATTCTGAACGCATTATTGGCAGTTGAGTATATCGATATTTGAATCTCGTCGTTTGGGTTGAATTGATTATGTTGTTTGATAATTCCTCTGGTGAAATTTGAGGCTGAGCATATTTGCCTTAGACTCCAATTGACTTTGGCCTTATGTTAGCAAAAGAACGGAAAGGTGTTTAGGATTTCTTGTAAAAGTTGCCTTCTGTAGAATATTTTTGCTGGATAAATAGTTGCAGTCCTTTGTTCGATGAAATTTGGCCAAGCTTTGTGTTCACCTCTACTGCCAGTAAAGTAGTATTGCTTTTAATTTTGACATCTTTAAATAAATATGTTCAAACTCAATATAGGTGAATATTTTGAAAGGGAAGGGTATAAAGGGTCTTAATGCACTGCTTACGAAGTTAAAGATGGTGACTTAATGCTTGTTGTTGATGTTCCGTGTGTTTGGAAGGGGAAATTATGTGGAAAATCCCAAACATAGGAAATCAATTAATTCATGGCCTTCGAGTAATCAATTTTAACCCTTTAGAATTCGAGGTGTGCCATTAGCGAATTTTCATGGCCCTCGCAAAGTCCAAACGCGTAGTTGCTTTAGGTGTGTGTTTAATAAATTTACCTTCATAAACTCGGGTGCACATTTATGTGACCCAAATCCAAATCCCAACGAAGTTAAAATATGTCAAAAATCGTGGGTGCATTTATGTGACGTGGTTCGAGACATGTTTTAACGACGTTGCAATCTTCTTTAAAAAATATGAATAAAAGCGGTTAAAAAGTTAAAATTTGCACATAGGTTCACAATTGTATAAAATCAGATAATTAAGCCAGATAGGACAGTTGAGCGACCGTGCTAGAACCACGGAACCTGGGAATGCCTAACACCTTCTCCCGGGTTAACAGAATTTTTTACTCGGATTTCTGGTTCGCGGACTGTTAACAGAGTCATTCTTTTCTTCGATTCGGGATTTAAACCGGTGACTTGGGACACCATAAATCTCCCAAGTGGCGACTCTGAATCTCTTAATAATATAATCCCGTTTCGATTGTCACTTCAAGTTGGAAATAACTCCCTTTATTATACCCTCTACGGGGTGTAGTGAAAAAAGGAGGTGTGACAGCTCTG